TTTAACGAGAATACCCCAGGAGATAGATCGATCCAAAGTTAGTACGATAGGGTTTGGGAATGGTCCCTTAGTATATGGGTTCATCCAAATACTGTAAGGCTTCGTTCACATGCAATGTCTATTTTCTAAATTCTATTTTCTATTTGCGGTATGTCTTATGATCACTATCTGTGCCCTGAATATCCCGCGGCGTAATTACTGGCAGCGCGAGCCAGTTACTATAAGTTACTATAAGTAACTGGCTCGCGCTGCCAGTAATTACGCCGCGGGATATTCAGGGCACAGACTGTGATCATAAGATAGCGCAAATAGAAAATAGAAATTAGAAAATAGACATTGCATGTGAACGAAGCCTAAGTCATGTATGCAGATTTGGTATATATCAGTTGTTTGTTTAACCCAAGCAACCTTTAATGATTATTCCATGAGGTGTTGTTAAGATTTCTCTCTGTATGTTTATACATAGATGTATAAAATTCCTTATATTGTGATTGCTTCACATTTTATTTTATTCAAAAATATTCAACAGAGGAAATTGTTTTCTTCCTTTCAATTAAGCAAATTACAGTAAGCTATGCCATAAGTTTTTTTTTTTTTTGTTTTTTCTTTTTTTGAGGTGTTCAATTTAGTCTACCCATTTCAATGCACAGACAGATGTCCATTTATGCAGTAGTTATTGTACTATTTGAACTTTGGATAACATTCACAGATCGTATATGTACATCCATACTGTTACATAATTACCTTTAAGGCCTTGAACTTAACAAGATTACATACCATCGCTTTTGTAATTGATTGTTGACATTCTCCTTAGTTTCAGCCAAATCACCTGAAGCTTTAATTATTGATGATAAGAGGGTTGGAATTATGTCCCCATTGTGTTAAACAAGTGACTTTACACATTTGATTCGTTAAGTTAAAAGGGAGTGGAAACTGACTTGCGACTACTTAGTGAATCAATGTTCATATGCAAAAATTTAAATGACATATCAAGGTTATGGTCCTTTTAACATCTTGCTGAACACTTTTTTAAAACCATTCTAAACAGGACTACCGTATGTTGAAGGGGACACAGACTGACCACTACAGATGCATTAAAGATTGTGAAACTCAGACCCCCCCCTCCTCAGTTCCGTCCAAGGGCCTGTTGTTGTGGTGGTGCATCACCAGATTACCCAGATCCCGCCGTTTATTAAATTATAATTAAAGCTAGATCATCTTTTATGACCATTATCTATAAGGTCTCTTTGTTGTTATGTTAATTTATTTAATTTGTTTTATGTTGACTTCTTTTCAATGTTAGACTGGGTTCCCATACATACTAGTAGATCGATCCATCTGGATTGATCTAACTCCCTGGGGAGTCTCACTGAATTATCATCTTATTGGCTTAAATGTCTGTCACGCCTACCAAATCAGCTAGGGGGTAAAGATAATTACACCCTAACAGCTTTGTTAGGCGTGACAGACATTTAAGCCGGAAAAGTTGACAGCAATTTAGTGAGACTCCCCAGGGAGATAGATCGATCCAAATGTCTGTGGGAATGGTCGCTTAGTCAGAGCTGGCAGTGCTTTTGTAGATGTAGACTTGGGCCAGTTACCAGGGTAGGGTTTGCTGGGTTTACAGCATCAGATATCTTGGGGCCCATTCAGAATAGGGGACTAACTAGTCCGAGGATTAAATACAGCGTCCCACTGTTAAGCTTGCCGTCTAATCCACTAATAGACACTAAATACAGAATAGATCTATATCCTGAGGGGAAGTATTCAAGTGGGTTGGCCATATTTGACCCTTGGACTAGTTAGTCCCCTGTTCTGAATGGGGCCTCGGAGATAAAGGTATCTGTAGCTAGAGACAGTGGGAGAGATGGTTTATAGAGCAACTAAACTGGATTGGTTTAGACTTGTTAATTTAGGCCCCATTCCCATATACACCATCAGTCCACATCGATCGATCCAACTCTACAGGGAATCTTGCTGAATGCAATCAGCTTAACTGAATGACATGCCATTTCCTGGCTTTGAGTAGAAAACAGAAAAGCCAGTGATTGTATGAGTATGTTAGAAACCAGAGTTAAGCTGATAGCACTCAGTGAGAGTCCCTGCAGAGTTGGATCGATCTACATAGAGTGATGGTGTCTATGGGAATAGGGTTTTAGTCAGGGATACATATATATATATGTATATGTATAGATTCTGTCTTGTGTAATGTATGTATTAGTGCATGTGACGGTACTCACTTAGTCATGAGTACAGCATGTGATAGCACCTCTTAAAGTCCTCTCTCAAAGGACAGCACATGGCTTCCACAGCTGATTGATCTCCAGTCCTTATAAGATACTGTGATCAATATGCGGCAGTTGGAGTTCAACATGAGGTAATTGGAAATGTGCCCACCCATTCTGAGGTTAAGATAGCACAAAGGACGCGGTCCAACTCATGAGATTAACTCGATAAGAATTTTAATGGTTTATAATGTCTGATAAAAAAAAAGAAAGAAAGCGAGAATAAAAAATTGAGCATAAGTGTAAGTTGTAAATATAGAGTAAATGGATTTTATGATGGAAGTTTCAATACAAAATCTCAGCTGTCTAAGTAACAGTGTATTGAAATTTCTTCGACTGCTTGGTAGAGCACGTTTCCGCCAGTTTTCAATGTCCCTTTGAGATGAAGTATTGAATAGATCAAATAACATGTGTTGCTCGTGCCTAAAAACACACGCACAATGCCCTTCGTTTCAGCATGATGAATATTGGACCCCCAGATCCCCACTTAAAACAGCAAAATGCTAAAGCTGGAATATAATCTATATTTTTACCTTTGTTTATTCTCCTTTTAATGGCAAAGTGCACCTTTTATTTACAGTGTGACATGTTCCAACACAGTAACACTGGTGTTTTGGTTTGATGGTAGAAATAGAAGCAACAGTTAAATATTGGTTTCGACGACCTTGAAAAAGCAGTGCAAGCATAGAACTTTGTCTGGGATTTATTATTGGAGTCATATAGTTGGATTATTTGCGGTCATCTTAGCTTCAAGTTCAGGGTCATGTTGTTTCCTTTGTATAGTGTGATTTAGCAAATCTTAATCTGTCTTTTTAGTGGGATTTGGTAAGAGTTGTCTGTCTTTCCATGTATATTGTCACTATCACGGAAATAAATTTGTACTTTCTTGAAAGCAATTCAACTGTCATATTTTATTAAACCTTGCCTAAATACATAACAAGACAGTCACACATGTATCATCTTACCTTTGTCATAGCATTGGTGGTCTCTTTTGTTATTTAGTACAAAGAGGATATAGGCAAGTGAAACAGAACTAAAGGGATTTCTTCAATATAGTAGTACATTCTGTGCCCAGTGTTTAATATTATTATTTAGCTTGGTTGAAGAAAAATATTAGCATATAAAGTTTTTTTTTTTTTTTTTTTCATTTTTGTTTTGTCATTTTATTAGTATAATTTTAATGCCAACCATTAACTAGGCTCATCGATTAGGAAATGAACCTTATTAGGGGTTTTTAAAAATCAATAAGGCAACTGTTAATATACAATTTACTTGGTACATTTGTATTTTGTGTAGAACAAATTATGAACATTTTATGTCAGACCATATGTTTCTAATTATATGTTTGATAACACATGTTGATGTTATTTTTATTTCTGTCTGCTGTCGGAACTGTGCAGAATTATTAATATATGTATAAAGATATTTAAAGCTCATTTTATGAATCTAGACCAAAAAAATTAAAGATCACAAACGTATAGAAAAAGTGTGGATAAGTGTGTTCCTTTTTAGTCCTGTTTAAATAGGGAGCATGTACATTCCAAATTACTGCCTTGTCTCAATTAGATCAAATAGATAGGCATTCGTAGCTAAACAACTTTTTTTGTTTGCGTGCATCTTTCATCCTTCTAAATTTAGTCCCTGTGCATCATCCACATATCTTGGTTATTTGCACAGGGGATGGATGCTTAGGATTCGGTATTTGTCTTAGACACTTGTGGAAAGTGGAAAGAATGCCATAGCTGGTAATTACCTTGTATATCAGTATATGGCACCCTTCTTCTCATCCAAAGCAGCTTTGCCAGCAGATAGTTTGATGGAGAAACATACCTTATAGATAGCCCAGGAGGGAATGTGTATATTTGCACAACTTGCAGACATTTTCACCTGCCTTGAACAATATTTCTCAGATGGCATTTATCATAATATCTGTGGCCGAAAAAAACTCACTCCTGGAATCTCATCCTGGGAATCCACAAACAGACTGATAGAGGATAGTGAAACCTCAGCATGAATGAGTCGGAAGGAAGTCTCTCAGCAGTCATGTCAACTGGATACTATTTCAATGGTGCTTTTAGTCATTTTTGATCATTAAAAAGAATATACGTGGAGGATAGAAAATTCCCTCGATCTCCTGAGAGTTTTGGGAGGAGAGAGCACGTGAGGTGGATTATCCTCGGGGGGAATTATTGGATGGAGCTAATTGTTTTGGGAATGTCTGTGCTGTTAGTGCTCATAGGGTATTTTCATCGAACATGCATCAGCAGCAGTGGCCTCGGCAGCTTTTTCCCTCTCTGATCTTTGCACTTATCAGTGAGAGTCTGGCACTGCTGGCACTGGAGTACTGATCTCTGAAAACAGTGTGTTTGGACATTCATGGCTTCGTTGTATCGTACAAGCATGCGTTTTGACATCCAAAACAGCAGGACGTGAGGTTCTCTGGTTTGGTTTAATTGACCACATGAAAGACATGTCATCCTATGCCATTCAAACCAGGTATCATTTGTCTGTTAATGCTTTGGACAAGAGAATAATGTAAAGTCTGTATTTTCATTTTCTTCATGAGCAGTGAAGTAGCAGAACCAATGAGCATGGAATATTTGAATGGAATGGTTTGAAGGCTACTCGTAATGTAGTACGATCGTTGCCATGAGTCTACAACCAAACATTCTTGTTAGTTTTAGTGGAATAATTTCTCTTTTCTCTGTTTTGCAGGCTATGCACACTCAAACTGACAAGACTCATGGTGCTGAAACCCCTAGAACAAGACCTTACTTCTATTATCATAGCTGTCAAGATGCAGATAGGTAGCCAGGTAAGAAGATACATGGATGCTTACTTAATTACAACTGTACGCCTGCTCAAACTACATGGAAATTCTACATCAAAGATTACCTGTTAACATAAGAGGTTGCTTTTTTGGGGGGAAGGGGGGGGTGTGGATGTAGAAGGGGTGAATATGCAGGTTTTATGCTCTTTGAATGGGTTATATTTCCAAGTGGATTTGTAAGATTATGAGGTGTTTCTTTTCAGATAATAGCTACATAAAAAAAAACAAGCTTTGGAGAATATTCCACTGTTTACTCATCATAATCAATAAGAAATGCAGGAAAAAATTGCAAATGTACTGTTGATCCTCAAGCATTTTTTGGTTCTTTGGTACTAGATTATTAGCTTCCCCTCAGTGAGCATATAATGTGGAGGCTTTTAGTAAGATTATTATCTGTTGTCTTGATATAATGAGATTGATTGTTTGAGAACAGATAACAAGTCACTAGGAAGATGCACGATCTTATATTTTGGTTGTCAGTACCCTACACTGAAATGACTCCAGATTCTGGGCCTTCCACCGTCAGTAAATTATTTCATATAAAAAAAATAGTGATTGTAATCAAAAGTAGGTTAACTTATTGATATTTATGACATGTATGGAATTGAAAAAAAAATAGCCAGGTTTTTAATTGGTGAATGGCCCCAGGTTCAGCTGGTCTTGGTGTACTTTGCAAGGTATGTGAAGCAAAATAAAATGCGACTCTGGGAAAGTGACACATGGACTCTGCTACTTAAGTTGTGCCACACCAACATTAATGGTTATTTGATGTTGGTGCCATGTTCCTGTATTTGCTGCTGTTGCATTGTATTTCTCATTGCCATCCATAAAAACTATTTGTATTTTTGAGCCTCTCTTTCTCAAATTTTGGATTTTATCCCCAGAATTTTTTTATTACATCCTTCTCTGTAAGCTCCCCATCCCCCACCCCTTACTCACACACACACACACACACACACACACACACACACACACACACACACACACACACACACAGTCTTAAGGAAAGGTTAGTTTGTGCAACTAAAAATACAAGGAAGTGTGTTTTTAATGTAGGTAAAGAAATTGAATAAACATCCTTTTGTCATATCCACTATCTTTATCACAATGAAAAACTAATATCTAATAATTACTGATAATCTGTACCATGAATTGTGTTTGTTTTAGGGTTCTAAGAGGACCCTGCGTACCACTGAGATTGTGTTGCAGCCCAATGGCACTGTAGACACAGAACTAGATATTACCTTCATTTTACAGGTAAGTTTTGAATTTCTTGTGGTTATTTATTTATTTATTTATTTATTTATTTATTTATTTATTTATTTATTTGTAGGAGTAGTAATTTGAAAAAAAAAAGTTACATTAGTTGTGGAAATATTTTACATGCATATTATTTTAATGCAAGTTTAACTGAATTTTTAATATATGTAAATTCTGTCTTATTGCTTAGAGTGCAACAAAACAAATATGTGTCTACTGTTTTATTAAAGCGTGTTACTTGAAATGTAATTTGAATATTGTCATGAGAAACAGTAAGCTGGCACTGCCATTAACGCACTTGTCAATATATTTATTACGTGATACCTACTAGTAGTAAAACATGATACCTAGTTCTTCCTTCCTGTTGTCATGTATTTAATAGAGTTTGTTCAAGTAAAAGATATTATTCAGTCAATGCTTTTTTCTGCTTTGGTCATTTTTGCCAGTTTTAGCAGTTTTAGGCATTATGAATAAAGGTTAAAGATTTAAAGAGATAGAATTGATGACATATACCGTTTGCTGCAAAACGAGCTCATTTTCAGATTTAAGTCACAGATCATTACTAGGCCTAGTTTAAAACATTTCCTGACCCTGTGTACACTTGTTGCTTGGAATTGCATCAATCTCCAGTTAACAGTAGGCTTATAAACAATTCTGTCCTTGGCACAGTAAGAAAAAACTTCCATCAAATCATTAGAGGAAATGAATTGCCTACAGATCATGTCCACAGAGGGGACATTAGCTATCCTCCCTTAAGAACTCTTGGTCACTGTGCAGGTTTTACTGTATGATTAAAGAACTTAGAAATTAATAACCATGCACTGTTAAGGGCATCTGCTGAATAACACTACTGGACATGTAGGTGCATTATAATTGCATATATATATTTTCATTTTGTTGATCTGCCTTGAATATTGAATCATCCATGTCTCTGGCATACATATTTAACACTTGTAGAGTAATCATGGAATATTGGGAAGCCAACATGATATTGATCCTCTGTGAAGTTCAAGAACCATGGGCCAGCAGAACAACACACTTCTTTTTTATCAGTCATATTTGTGATCAATCCACATTGGCACTAAGAGGATTTTATTCAAGTGGTGATCTGTTCAGTACAGGCACCCACCCCGAGTTTCAGAGAGTCATTGAAACTGACCTCTGTTATCACCCTGCCTCTGCAGTTTCTAGTAACCTCTGAAACTTGGGGTAGACGGATGATATTTGAAATTCATTTCTGATCTACAGACTGTGATTTATTAGTGGTGGGATGTCAAAATTAAGGAGGAATTATACAGGGGACATATCGAAGAAGAGTTCAAAATCAAGAAAATGATAAATAGTATGAAAATGAATAAATAATGGATGAATGAATGAATGAATCATGGATGGGTGGATGAATGATGCAGGACTGCACTGGGAGAGAGCACACCATGATAAGCCCTTGGTCAAAGGATGATGATAATGAAAGAATGGATGGATGGATGGATGAGTGAGAGAAATCAGGAAAAGCTTTGAAAAGGGGATCTGGCTATTCAGGAAATGGTAGTTCAATGGTAAAAAGTTACATCTCACCAAGAATCTATACTTGATTGAAGTCATGTTGTGGTTTTATCTCATGGGACGTGAACTATGTAAAGCAGTCGAGATAACCAGAATGAACAAGTTCACATTTAATGTAAGATTGATCTTCTTGTTAGTTTTAAGAGCATCCTTCAGACAAATCTTTTTTTTTTCTTTGGTCTTGGAAATCAATATGTCATACATCTCACCCACGTTTTGCTCTTTTAAAAATGGTTGTTGAAATAACCTTGGTTTTTTAGTTGTTTGTTTAATTCTGCCACCAAAAAAAGTAATAATGGGAGGGATGTCCCTCTTTCCTAGATAAACAGGAATGTGCGGCATATGTGGCTTGGCAATCTGTTCATCAACAAATACTATCTAACCTATGCATATATGCATTCCATTACATGCCTTACATATATGTCGTGTTTTGCCTATGTAGTTGAAAATACTGTGCAGATATATGTGAAATGATCTGCTCAGAGATTTGGAAGTAAAATAAACACATAAACGGTGTTGTTTATTTCACAAGAAAGAAAAAATAATCCTGTATTACAGGACTTTCAAATTACTCCTTTTTACTCCATTGATCAATAGTGCTTGGAGAGTTCTTCATTTTGCAGAGGTTGATGAAAGTAAACATTTATTTTAGAAATGTGTAATATCCGTGCTTTTTATGCTATGACAAGGATGGTTGAATAAGTTTTCAGAGTGAAAAAGAAGAATGGTTGAATAAGTTTTCAGTGTTAAAAAGAGACACTATTTTCCTTGCTATTCTATTAAATCATCATACTTTTCTGTATTTGCTGTTGGTCCGTGAGTGAAATACCACTTCAGGTAACACGTACTAGGTTCACTCAAGGTATTAAGAGTACAAGCTTAGGGAACGGCAGTCTTGTTTTGTTGGACAGCTGGTGGAGCACCTTGGAAAGTTGTTTACTTTCACCTTGGCGTAAATCCCAAGGATCATGGTCATTCCACACCTGTGAATAGTTCTCCCAAAAATCTCAACCACTTGGCATTTTAAGATACATGAATGATATTTGTCAGGATGCTATATCATGCACTAATGGGATGCGCAACAGGGCTGGCAGCATCTTTAAAGAACGATGTGCAAAGTTTTATATTGTATATTGTGTACCGCTGAACATATCAGATGTAGTTACATAACATGCACATAGCTAGTTAGGTAGAGCTTTTCTCCAATTATGAACCCATATGAGCTGATATAAGTCTCTCTGCACGTGTGTGTGTGTGTGTGTGTGCCCACCTGAAAGCGCATGCATGCATGTGTGGTCAGATTGCGTTATCAAGGATCCAAGATTTCTTGGATGCTACAGTACCTAGAACAATGTGGGGAGGGAGTGGCACTCATTTCTCTCTTATTATTTTGGGAAGTATATTACATTTGCTAAAATAAGCAGCGTACACAGAGTGCTGTATATAGGGTTTATAATACTCTTGCTTACATATATATTTATGTGGATTTTTGCCTCTGTTGGCGTTGTATTTCTTCGAGATAGAGAGTTGATTGGTTTATCAGTAATGATATTTAAATGGATAGAACCACATGGTTTTTAACTGATTTTATCCATACTTCATTTTACCATATAGGTTTAAGTTTGCCCTGTAACTTCTTTATTTGTACTAATATTCTGAATCTACTTATAGCAGTCACTTCTCCGTTTAAGTATTATTGATATATTGCTTTCATGATATAGCAACTCTTATGACCTAAGTGTGCTTTGTCTTTGATATGGGAGAAATGTCTGACAGGTTTTTCACTGATAAGCCTGTTCAAATAATTTAAACTCAATTTATCACTTCTTTCTTCGTGGGGCATTGTTTGTCGTGTGTCAGTTCAGTTTGCCTTGTTTGTAGAATGCACACACAACTTGCTGTGCTTGTGCCAATAAATATGCTTTCTGACTGTCAGATATGAGAGAAAAATCCAGTCCTTGTCGTATTGTCATTGATGTCTATCTCTGTGTGTTGGTTTTGCTACCACAATGGCGTGATATTGAATTCAAAATGGACAAGAAAAGCATGGGAGAATACAGGGGGATAGCAAATTGATTTTTCAAAAAAAAAAAAAAAAAAATTGCTTTTTTATGTGCAAAAAAAAAAAAAAAAAAAAAAATTGACCTGGTTTTTTCTAATGGGATAGCCCCCTGAGATAATATGTAAGTTGCGTTAGTTCAACCCAGCTTTTATGGAAAAGCACTGTTGTTCCCATCTAGATGCAGCTTTAAAAGCATAAACCTAACAGCTATGACATTGACATTCACCAAGTATGCTTATATGAATTGATGAATATTAATGCATTTTTTGAAAAGTCTACCTCACAAAGCTTTTTGTGCTTTTCACTGGCTAATTTGGAGATGATTAAATCACAGGAATTATCTATACCACACTTAATGGCTCTTCATAAAAGCACTTTTTTTTAGCTTGAGATAAACATCCTCACCAGAGGTTTATAGTGCCATTTGGGCATTGAAGGGCTGCTTGAAAAAGCTACACGATGGAACATTAATGTTTGTAGTGTGCTGTTGTATGGGGTGTATGTTTAAAAGCATAGCTCTGCTTGTTTATATGTTGCAGTGGTTGTGCAAGTAGAAAGGTGGTGCGCTTCATTTCTTTCCACAGGTACACTGGCAAGGTATGCCAGTATATTGATGGTCCTACCAATATAACTTGTGTGGTGAAGTGTAAGATTTGGGAACTTAAGTATAGTTTTTGTAAAACCACAGAATCCAGTAGTTACGATATTTTATTTACCATAGAAGTCTTATAAAATTTAGATGGAATCAAGTTATGAAACAATAACAAAATATGATAAGCAGCCATTCCACGAAAAAGGGTACAATTCTGAATAATACCTGTCGCAGCTTATTTTCAGTAGTAAAAGCATCTGCAATTTAGCTTTTTTTTAGCCTTTTTTAGCAGGACCCGATGTGTTCTACTTAAAAAACAACAATTGATAGAGTACCACTTGCTTTGACGGGAACCCCGGGGGTCTATATGCCGCAAAAAGCACGATTTCGACGTGTCGCTTCGGTATTATAGCTGATTTGCCACAAGAAAAAGTTTATATTTTCCCGTATTTTAGTGTTTTTAGTCCTCAACTAATTTGAATTCATGTTTCTTTTTATCATACATGGTGTTCTCTGTCGAATTTGTTGGTTAGTTACGTCACTGTCATAGTTTAATCAATGTCGCTCAGTAACCCCTAACCTCCGTAACGCTTTTTTAACTCAGTGTAAGAATAAAAGAAAATG